TCGAAGAGTTTAAGTGCTAGAGCAGTGCGACCTAGAGAACTAAATGTTATTGCAGGTTTCGACCGTTCGGGGGGACCAATGTTATTGCAGGTTTCGATTGGTAGAGAAGGGTTAATAGCGTGTTACTGTTGCTATTTTTGTCGTTACATACATGCACACGTGTATTCATATTTGTTAAAGAACACGTTTTTGCACGAGTGCAAAAATCCTGCTGTGATAAACAAACACATATTTGCACGAGTGCAAAAATTATGCCCGCTATCTTATTCCAGTGTGTTCTCGGTTACCGTTGCTATCATTGTCGTTACATACATGCACACGTGTATTCATATTTGCTAAACAACACGTTTTTGCACGAGTGCAAAAATCCCTGTTGTGATACACAAACACATTTTTGCACGAGTGCAAAAATTATGCCCCCAATTTTCTTCCATTGCGTTCTCGGTTCCCGTTGCTATTGTTGTCATCATATACATGCACACGTGTATTCATATTTGCAAAACAACACGTTTTTGCACGAGGCAAGTGGTGGCACCTGCGGATCCGCGCAGCTAACGTGGAGGAGACGCTCGGGATGCATTCCGTTTTTCCTTTCGAGCGAGCCTCGCTCCGCACTGGCACAGCAACCCCAGCGGAAAAAGCGAGTGAGCGCCGTCTTCCTCTTCGTGGCATGTTTGCATACCGTGTTGAAACTTCAAGAACCAACCATACCAGAGTACCAGAGTGCCAGGGTACCAGAGTACCAGCCAGGACCAGTGCCAGTACCAATGCCAGTACCATTACCAATACTAGTAGTAGTATTTTTGCGCCGGCGACCACGTTAGAAACGAATACAATGGTTTTTTGACAATGTTGCTTTTTGAGTTGTTCCTATCAAATCTTAATAATTATTAGTTTCAATCACACATTGCCCAGCAGTGACGAAGTGAAAACCCCATGATCTTTCCGTTCAGCCGTTTAGCCTGGCTTTCGGATTCGGTTGCTTGTCCGTTCGAGTTTGCTTTGAGCATGTGCAGCCGTGATACATTTTGCGCCACATTGTGCAGTTTTCCTTGATGCCAGACAGACCGGTCATGGTTCTGGCAGTCCTGCTTTGCTTGTCGGTGCCACGCGCTCGCGCCGAGGACCCGTGCAGAGGGGTGGCGGGGCATGCCAGGGTTTGCAGTCTGGCTGGTCACCAGGCTTTGGTGCTTCCTGCCATCGAAAATGTTGCATTCAGCAACCCTGCCCGAAGCTCAGAGCTCTGGCGTGTGCCCGGTGAGAAGGGACTGCTATGGCTTTGGCCAAGCTGAAGGACGATGTCCACCGCGCTTTGTCGCCAGCTTGGGAAGTGCTGGTGGAGCAGCGGAACGCTGCAGGACAGGGTGGAAAAAGTTTAGAATTTCAAGAGTCGGCAGTTACCGGGGGTGCAGGGCTTGTACCTGCCAGCGAAGAAGGCCAGTCTCAACAACCAATGAGCTCGGATCCTGAGGGCTCCCAACCGCAGATTGTTGAAGCCTCGCTGTTCAAGGTCGTGAGGAAGCCGCGTTTCAGTATCGGCGCGTGCAAGACGGGCAGGTGGACTTTCGAGCAAGCCATCCGCCGTCTGCCAGTTGAGCTTGCAAGGTGGACTCCGCACGGCTTTTGCTCGTGTTCGGGTTGGTACCATCCGCCAGGCAGGGCAGCAGACAGGGGGTGACGGATTCACTAACTTACGCCATGTGAGGCATCTGGACCCATCCACTGCAGAGCTCTTCCGCTGGGAGCGTGATAGCTCCAAGTCAAGCGGCAGTGGGCAGCTTGCGTCCTACCGGTCGTGTCACAAGCGAGACAGGGCTCAATCGGGAAATCCTAGGCAGTTGGCAACGAGTGCGTTGCAGCGCTATGCCGATGGATCCACGCCTCTTCACCTGGCAGCCACGTGTCGATGCTGCAGTCATTGTCAGTTATTGTACACTGCCTTAACTGCATGCGGTGCGATGTTGCCAAGTTGACAAGGTTCGGTCTTTCGGAGTCTCTGGAAGCTTTGTTGCGTGCCGGTGCTGACGTCCATGCCACCTCTGATTCAGGTCAGGCACACCTGCTTAACTGTGAGCTTTCATCTCGTTCCTGATGTGTTTGGCAGGTGTCTTGCCAATCCATGCCTCTGCGATTGCTGGCCATCGCCACTCCCTGGATCTGCTCGTGAAAGCGCGAGCCGACCCCAATTCTCCCCACGGCTTTGCAGGCAACTCTGCAATGTGACTGGGCAGACAAAGATTCGGCAAGTGCTTGCACCCATGCAGCCGTTGTTGTGCCAGTTCTTGAGGCACTTTGCTGCAGAAATGGGTCATTCGGAGGTAGTGCGGCGGCTATGCGAACTCCGTGCAAATGTGGAGGCATCGAAGGCCCAGGGAGGCCGCGTGCCTGGCCTCTCGTTTGGTAAGGGCAGAGATCCCTGTGTGGTCAGCAGGTACGGCTCTCCACACAGCTGCCGATACGAACAACTCGGCGGTGGTGCAAGTGTGGAGCTCAGCGCAGGAGCTCAGTGGAGCGCCGCCGAGAGGTCCTCTTAGCATCTTCACGGCAGTGCGAGGCCCTCCTGTCGGAGCCTTGTTCCTGCGACCCCGAAGCGCTGCTGCTGGGCGACACACCGGCCCTGTACCTGGCAGCCGGGGACCCAAACAGACAAACTGAAGCAGAACGTCGCCTTACCGCGAAAACAACACGAGGCTTCGCGAGGCTTCCCGGATGTGATCGAGGCCTTGCTGGCCGGCGGCGCCAGCCCTGACAGGAACCTCCCCAAGGCTAAAGCCATAGCTCGGTGCTGTGGGCCATTGTGGCTGCAGAGGACTCTCCGGCAACGCCAACGAGTTGGGAGTGGAGGCAAAGGGTCCAAGGCCCGAGTGGGCATCTGGTGGGTCGATTGCTGAAAGCTGGTCCTGGCAGGACCCCTCTACGGCCTCTGCGAATCTTCCGGGCAGTCGGAAGGACATGCCGGGCTTCGAGGAGGCGAACGGTGCCACGCCGCTGCAGCTCGGCGAACGGCGTGTTGTGGTGCTCGTGGGCTCACTTGGCTCCCGAGGCATGCAGCCTGCGAGAACGGTCACCTGCTGGTCTGACCTGGCTTTTCCTCGCTTTGCAAGCTTCGCAGCCTCTGCAGCCTCGCGTCGCAGGCAGTGCAGGCGCTGCTGGGCGGCGGTTCCCGGCAGCTAGCAACGATGGAAGGAGCGGGGAGCGCATGGAATCTGATATGGCCCGATGCCCCAACATCTGCAGCTTCTGAAGGTGTAACCCCGCTGATCACTGCGCTCCAGTACCGCCAGCGAGCGATTGCCCGGGTACTGCTGGAGAGCAGGACAAACCTGCAATGCCGACGAAAAGCCGCCTTTGCAGCCTAGACACGCTTGAGGTGCCCTGCAGTACTCTCTGGAGGACTCCGGCCAACGTGCACGTGGTGTCTCCCGCAGATGGGCCTCCCATCAGCCATCAAGAGAGAAGTCAATTTTTTTCTGTTAAGCTTGTGTCCTTTTTCCTGAGGCAGACGGCCCTGCACATTGCGGCAGCCTATGGCTTTTCGGAGGTCGTCGCCGGCATCTTACGTCATGGGGGAGCTTCCGATGTCCAAGATGCAGCAGGCCTAATGCGGCTTATTAAGCTGTATCGGAGACCCGCTGTACCCTCCAACTTTCTAGTGCCCGCTTCAGCACTGAAAGTTGCTTCCGTTTATGTGACAGGTCACACCCCTATGGACTACGCCCGAGACAGGCTGGTTCTGTGGTTGCTGAACCGCTTTCATGGTCGAGATGGGCTTTTGGAGTCTTGCCCAGAAACGGCTGTGTCTGTTTGTCCATTGAACTTGACTCACATCGCGACTCGTTGGCAAGGACGACATTGTCCGCCGCAACGTGCTCAACGGGCTGGAGGAAATCATAAGCAGTATCGACGAAACGAAGGCGCCAACCTTCAAGAAGGATCTGTACAAGAGTCTCTCCCAGCTTAGCTTGAGAGATCTTGAGGGTCGCCTTCACACCCACAGGTTTTACGTGCTGTGCTGCAGAAAGTCCGAGGAAGTACCTGCGAGCGAATGAGGAGGGCCTCCTGCGAAAATTGTCCTCTGACCTTGTGACACAAGCGCGAGCAGGCAGACATCTGATGTGGCTTCGTTGGATTTTGACCCCCTTGTTAGGTACATCCTTTTCTGTGTTCTTGCTGCTCGGCCCCAGAGCTGTTTCAGGGACTTCTGAAGCGCTGCAGCACCTCGCCGTGGCACGATTCATACTGGCCGGCGCCAGCGACGTGCCAGTGGCGATCGAGGAGACACTTCAGTTCCACATCCCTGACTCCTAGACAAGCCTTCATGTGTAAACGACGAAGCCTTCATCAGTGCCCCACCTGTGCACTCTCATTAATTGTCACCCATCGCCACGCCGAAAGCCTCGTCTCAACTCCTGCACCAGGCGCTACTTCATCGCAGCGAGGCTTCACTGTGGTCAGCCTTGACATTGCTGGGCATCCCTGTGCGGGATTTGCACTACGTCCCCGGTAAGGACCGAATGTTGTTGGCTCCTGCAGTATGGCTTCTCAATCATCACCAGTTCCTGGCAGAAACAGCATTAGGATCATCACAACCATCGCAGTTGTTCTCACCAGAATGACCGCTTTATCATTGCAGTCGCGGGGTCGTCATCGTCATCATCATCATCATGATCATCATCATCATGGTCATCACCATGATCATCATGATCATTTGCACAATCATCATCATCATAATCATCATCATCAACATGAACATCATAACTGTAACTATCAACATCAACATCACCACCATCGTCATCGTCATCATCATGATCATCAGCATCATCATCATCATCCTCACCATCACCATCAATATCATTATCATCAGCTAAGTCTTCACCCATCCCTTGCAACAGTGTCTTCGTAGTGGTGTTTGCTTTCCATGCAGTTTCCCTCGTGAACACCCAGCAGCAGACTGGCTCTACTGGTAGAAGGCCAGAAGAGCCGAAGGCAAGTCTCACCTTATGCCCGCAACGAACCGAGACTCCGGGTTCAGCACTCAATCAGAATCAAACTCACAGTCGTCGTCATCATCATCCCCATGAGTGACATCATCGTCTTCGTCGTCACTGCCGTGACCAAAACTGATGTTACACCGACAATATGCTGCAGGGAGTGACGAAGTTTCCGTGTTGATGGAACCGCAGGGCCACAACCTCTCTGCGATCCCGCGTTCCCTTGTAAGAAGGAGGGCATTGATTCGACGGGAGCGTGCGTGGGGAGCGTGCGTGTCTTTGTCAACGAGTGTCATCAAACTGCTCACTTCAGGTTCTCCCTTGGCCCCATCCTTGGATTCGCAAAATTCGAACACAGACAACCCACAAATCGAGAGACAATAGTGAGAACTCCGGCATCGAGCTGTGTGGCACCGCTCCCCCTAATCCATACATGGTCCAAGCAGAACGCAGGGGCTTGGGCCTTCGCTTTGATTGACGGGCCCTTCACACGATCTGTCAACACGGTGCAAGCAACAACCACACTCGTGTGCTCCCGCAATCCGGGCTTGACTCAGGGCATGTCTTGCCAGTGTGAAGCCACCGTTGGGGAGCGACCCTTGTTCGTGTTGATGCGACCCGAGCTTTAGGGGAAGGTTCGCCAGGCTCACATGACTTTGCGACGATGGTCGCTTTTGTGCCAGCAGCTGGCCAGCTCCCGGTCAGTAGCGGGTTATACAACTTCGGCCACTCCATGGCGGGAGGCACCCAACGGGTTCTTCAGAGCCTTGCAATGAGGAGCTGCTGCTGAATGGCAGGGACGTGCACCACGTGATGCAAGAGATGCTTTCTGTCACCCAGGCGGTCCAAAGCCTCGAGCTTTGCCTGCACAAAGGACATAACATGGCAGACACGACATGGGCTCTGCAGCAGCTCTGCGGCTTTCCTGTAGGACCTTACCATCATCGAGCCTCTGTTGCGTCCCAGCTGCAGGTTAAAGTCGCCCGAAGAGGTTTGACCTTGTCGCTCCTAGGCATGAACTCCGATCGACTTCCGAGCCCTCTGGCGCGGAGCACCAAGATCACCACCTCGATCTATGAGCAACTTTGAGCCATCAGCTGCCGCCAGTGCCATGTTCTCGGCCTCGAAGTGCGGAAAGTTAAACACGCAGCGCTGCGGACCTGCTCAAGTCCGGGATGAGTCCGCAGAAGAAGAGCCTAGCCCGCCTAGCAGGGCGAGAGGGGCTCCGAATTCCTCCAGATTTGTTTTGTATTGAAAGGTCCCCCCTATGGGGCCTGTAATACATTGTTGGTCTGGTTCGTCAGGAGAGACAGGGGTGAAAATGTATTGAAGAGTCCCCCCCAACAAACAACGTGAAATAGGAAATAATAGGAAGCGAGAGCTGGCGATCTTTGCAGGATCGGTTGGGGGAAGGGAGCCCGGTAAGAAAGGGGGTCGGGGGGGAGTTGATGGCACACACAGGTTTTGAGGCCAGCGCTTATTGTGTTGGATGAGGGGCCTATTGTATTGGATCAGAGGTCTGCGTGCCGTGAAATTGTATTGGGTAGGCGGGGGTCTGGGGGGGGGTCTGTTGAGGAGTCTGGAGGGGTCTGGGCGGGTCTGTTGGGGGTCTTGGGGGGATCTGGAAGGGCTTCTTTTCAACCCAAACGAGAGATTTCCTCGTTTGAGTATTGTATTGGGTAGGGGGTCCTGGTAAATTGCTTCTTTGCCTCCCAGAAATCCTGCTCTATATTGAGGCCAGGGCCTGTAGCTAGCTTACCCCGGAGGCTATTGTATTGCCTTAGGGGGCGTTTGTATTGGGCCAGGGGTCAGCGGGCTTTTTGTATTGGGGCAGGGGTCAGCTTCCTCTGTGCCAGGAGAATGGCTTTTTGGTGCGTTGGCATTTGAGCAGTCTATGTCTGTCTATGTCTCTTTGTGCCTCTCTATGTATGTCTCTTGAAGCCACGCATGTCTGACGAATTCTGATTGCGATTGGGCGACTCTGTTTTGATTATGCTTTGCTGGAAGTACAACTCTTGACTCCCCCCCCCCACTGCTCCAATACCTTTGAAATGCAGGAGTTAATGTATTGCATAGCCCCCTCCACCCCCCTACCCGATACCTGGAGGGATGGCTCCGACCCGGTTCCTCCAAAGCGGCAGCTGCCCCTTCAACAAGCAGAGCTCTGCGGCGCCATGCAGAACTCTGCGCTTGAGCCACGGTCTCGGCTTGTGCTGCAATGCGAGTCAGCGCAGCTTCGGCGAAAACACAGGCAAACTGTGCGACTTTTGCGTGAGGGCGTCGAGTCTGAAGGCTAGGCAGCGCTCTGAGACCCGGCTCGAGCAGGAGTAGCTGGAGCTTGCAAAACGTGCCGCCTGGCGCAACCTTCAGAAATCCATTTCGGTCACGGATGCCTAGGATGCCAGCCCTTGAACAAGCAGCACGCGACAAAGCCACGAAGACAGGAACTCGGAAACTGTAGGCATTTGGCCATCACAGAGAAGCCCTATGTAGTGGGGTTCTGTGGCTGCATGGTCCGGTGACCTGAAATGTTTGAAGCGTCAGCATTTTTCCCCGCAGAGACTTAGTGGGAGGTACAAGACCCGGCGAAGTTCGCCTGAGGCGCGGGGCTGGTGTGCAGCGCTCGCCGCGTCCAAACACGGCTGTGAGGCCTCGAAGTGGCGCTCAGACCGAAGAGCCGAAGGCGGAAGCCATGGCTTCGGCCTCAAGCGGAAATGGCCTGGAAAAGGGCTTAGGCATCTGATACGATGCGCTAGATCAGCTGCTCGATCACCTCCATGTGCGATGCCAGTAATTACACCTTTCCATCAGTCACGTGAATGTCATCACCTCATGGCAATTTTTTTCATTTCAGAACTTCACTCATCAGGGAAGCAGCTGGATGTTCGTTCATGCTTTGGGCAGAGGACAGCAGCATCAGACAGAGAAACAAAACAGAAAGGCCTGCCTCTGCTGAGGGACCTCAGAAATGGCAGTCATTTCTCCCAAAGAATAAGGCTTCGCAGATCGTGAAAACAGAGGGGCATTGGCGACCTAGGTGCAGATCGCGACAGCGGGACCCCACAGAGGAGAGGAAAGGGTTGCAATGACAACTCTAGCGCACTGGATGCCTTGAGACTCTTCCATATCTCAGCGTTCCACCACCTTTCAGCTCTTGGCAGGTCCAGGCAGTCTTCACGGGACCGCAGCCATGTTCGGTCAGAAGGCCAGGGCCAGGAAGGACCAGTGAGGCTGTCGCCTTGGAGCCTTCCGAAGGCTGTGGCCGCGTGGTGCTGCGCGCTCGAGAGGCTTCGAGGTCCCGGTCTGACAGCAGGTCCGGGCCGTCCATGTCCGGCGATGTTCGAGGGCGCAGGCTCCGACTGAGAGCCAGGCGGGCCTTGGCCTTGAGCCCGAGCGTGCCAAGACCGCCCGCGCCACAGTGCGGCAGGAAGGCATGGGGCACGGAGTGGCCGTGTAGAGGCAAGAATTCAAGCAATTCAACTCAACGACCAGCATCACGAACATGCGAAGGAAGCTGACAAGCTGAAAAGGATACCACTGACTAGTGACTATGCAGCAAGATAGACGCGACCGGCAAGATTTGGGGATTACCAACTCGTTTGCTGTGCAGCAAGGCAAGGGTGCTAAATGGCGGCGTGAACCTAAACATACCTAAACGCGATTTGAGTCGTCTGTGCCTTGTCACTGCTTTCGGGATCCAGAGGCGGTTTAGCCCGCGCCACTGGTGTCTCATGAAATTAAGACTGAGGCGGCGCCGACGCCCGGGAGTGCCACGGAGCAACTCCGAGGGGGGGCGACGGTGGGCAGCTCAGTGTTCTGCCTTCGTGCTGAGCTGATCGCCACCGCCAGCCCTTCGCAGGGATCGTTCAAGGCTCCGTGGCCAAAGTGCAGAGCCTGTCCGCGCCGCGAAAGCTCGGAAACGGGCGCTGCCGAGGGCAGGGGAAAAGACCCGAGCGCCACTGCCTGACCGGCCTGACCGGAAGCTCGATCGGCTCGATCGGGAGCTGGAGCCCTCCAGAGAACGCTCCGAACGGGCCTCGGACTCACGAGAATCACGAGACCGGGAGCGGCGGTGGCCTGAGAGCGAAGACATCAGAGACGGCCAAAAGGAAGTTGAAGCCCCGGAAAGGTCTGCCAGGGATCGGCAGCAAAAGGAGTACATGCAGATGGCAGCTCAGCAGGCAAAGCTCTGCCGCAAAGGGCGCGACTTGTCATGAGCTTTGTTCCAACGTGTTCGCGACTTTTTTCTTGCTTGATGGCAGCTTGGACATCGCAAGACTTGCCTGTTGTAGATTCAGAAATTAATGAGTCTCGTCGTTGGCTTGTAGTAGCAGCTTCGTTGTAGTGCCTGTGCACTGCAGAATCTTGCAAGTACGTGAAGCATGTGAAGCTTTCTAGCTGGCGCGGCCGGTTTGCCCATGCGGTGGCATTCGTGCGTAGACTCCAGCGCGGAGACTTCGCCAGCGTGATGGACCACTACCGGGCGGATTGCTGTTCTGTCGGGAATGCGCCATCTGCGCATCTCGCTCCTCTTTCTGCAAAGTCTCGGTCGACTTGCGGCCCTTTCCCTCTTGGGCTGCCCGGCGGAGGATGCACGAAGAAGTTCGCAAGCGCGCATGGAGCGGATCTTCTACAAGATGCTCGACACACAGAGCGGCTCCCCCGTTGAGTCGGTGGAGGTGCTGAGGGATTTGGAGCTGCTAATGACGGAGCACGGCGAGACCGCGGAGCTTCGGCACGTCCCCGAAGAGGCCCGAGCCTTCGCGAGCTTTGCGAGCGCGACTTCAGAGCTGCCGTGCCTGCCGGGGATCCTGGGCACGGAGCTCCTGCAGCTGCTGTGGCTCGCCGGCCTCGGCAACCAAAAAGACCAGGCTTTGGAACTGCTGCTCGAGAGCCACCGCCACTTCACGCTCCTCTCCTCCCCGCTGTGCTAGCATCATGTTCTTAAAACGCCTTTCCCGTATAGGGTATAGCTTTACATTCAGGCATTTTGGTTGTTTGGGCCTCAAGGTTTCTGCGTGTGACTCCATGGACGTCGCTTCTGCAGTTGGGTTATGGCTTGATCTTTGCGCTTGGCCAGATGTCCTGTGCAGCCATACCAGCTCCTGAGAATGATGCTGCCGCGGCTGCGGAGCACTTCCACGGATCTTGGCCCGGGTCGCTGCCCACGGAGGCGACGATCTTCAAGCAGTTCCACGTGCTCGTCGGCTTCGACTACCGGCGCTGCGCCCGCCGCTTCCTCGGCGAGGACCGAGACCGAGCCTTGGCCAGCTGCGCGCCGCCGCGGAAAAGGAGAGGGAGGCGCCCTGGCCCTGGCGCTTTCGGCTCCGCCTGGCCCCACCGGCAGCTGGTGCCCGGGGCCACAAATGTGTAGAGGCTGTGGAAGGGGTGGAATAGACACAAGGCGCGTGCCTTGTAGCTCAGGTGCTTCTGGCCGCACGGCAGCCCTGGGCCTGCGGGTTGGCCTGCCGCTGGGCTGTGGCCTTTGCGAGTCTGGCGCAGGCTGTCCGTGATGGCAGCGGCAGCAACAGGCCGAGAGCCCTCTCGGAGGACCAGCGGAAGCTCGTCCAGGTGCCGTGCGTGGGGCGATGTCGCAACACAGAGACAGCCTTTGCGTCTGCCTTTGCGGCAGGCCGCGCAGGACGAGTTGCAACAGGCTGCAGAGATGCAAGGCAGCCCCCCATCTCGTCAAGCCCCGTCCCAACAGTAGGTGGAAGCAGCGGTTTGGAGCCTGGACGGACGCGATCAGGCGGGCGTAAAGAATGCCAAGCAACGAGCTTTGCTGCAGTGCTTTGCAATGGCCCTGTGCCCCGGGCAGGTCAAGGCAAGCTGCTCCTTGTCACGTGCGTACCCGGTCTGGGCTTTGCTGGCATGGCTTGGGCTCGGCACTCTCTCAAAGCTGGAAGGGCGGCTGCCTGTTGACTCGTCAATGCCACAGCGGTCCCCGAATCAGCCGCCCCCACCTACCCTAGCCAAGCAACATGGATGCAGTGGATTTGGGTCCTTTCATTTTTGACATTTTTCTGTGGGCAGTGTCCTGCGCTGTGTCGCGTTTCTCTTCCCGGAAGGCTTTGCGACCGGGTCCAATGGCCTCTAGCACAGAGCCTGACAGCACAGGGCACGCTTGCGGTGTATTTTCTGGTGAAGACTGTCGGAGGGTTGCTGGACGAATTTGGTGTCAAATGGTGGATGTCCTCTGGCGCGAACTGCCCATTTCAGCCAGACTTTGTAGTAGGATGATCTGGACTTGAATGATCCACTGATATGCATCCTGATTTCAGAGACTTCACCTCCGAGGGACTTCTGGGTGCAATGAGAAATGGTGGTATCTTGCCACAGGACTCAGCGATCGTCATCACTTGTGTGCTGTATGCCATGGCATGCACTGGCCACTGCTCCTTGCGTTTGCCAGGATTGCGATGTCGATATTGCAGTCTGGCGTCCGGATGCTCACCAGATGGTACGAATTCCTTTTCGCACAGCGCTGGCGGCTGCGGGCATTGCGATGTATCATATGCCTATCTACCTTCAGTACCGCTTCTGCTTGCTGCAGGTCCCGGCTGCTGCGGACTTGCGATCTGTGGATGGTGGCCTGGCCTGCCATTTGCCCTACATCGACGCCCACCTGGCTGACCGAAGCTCCGCGCAGGATTGGCACTACATTCACCGAACCGAGCTCCGATACGCGAAGAGCTTCCCCTTGACGGGCCTCCTCGGCCCTGCAGGCGAGGACCGGCGTGAGCGACGGCTCTTTGGAAGTGTCCACATCTGGACCATCAGAGAGAAGGAAGCGGAGCAGTATCTCAGCAGTTTGTACGGGCACGACTGGAAGACCACGCTGCGGGGTCGCCATGGCCAGCTTGTCCACAACAGCAGCGAGGGGTTCTATAGCCTCATTGCTCGCCCCACAGGCCTGCAAAAGGTGAAGCTGAGCGCAGTAATTTAAGCACAGCAAAACAGAGCCTCGTTGTCAAAGGCCCTTTGCGGGACGTGATCCAGGAGCCACCCGGCGGAGAGCAGAGCAGAGAGAGCCCCGAGCAGAGAGCCGGTGGAGAGCCCGGATCGGTGTCGCCCTCTCGGAAAAGCCGAGGCAACGGCTGGTGGGCAACTTGCTGCCCGGAGCGGCCGTCGACTGTCGAGCGGACTGCGACCTCTCTTAGTCTCTTAGCGCCGAGATGCGTGCTTTTTCCAATGCTTCCTGCACTTCTATGCCTAGGACCCTAGGAAAGATTTGAGATGGTCTGAGCGACAGGCAGCCTATATGCAGTTCATGCACCATCCGGGATACATGGCCATCTACCCAGCCCTTGTTCATTCACGCTTTCGGACGCAGTCCACCGGCCGAGCTTTGGAAGGCCATGGTGCAGCAGATGGGAACGATGCCGCCTCTTGGCTTTGTGAAGGAGTTGCGAGTTGAGACTACGGCACATGGGGGGTTCTTGTGGCACTTGAGGCCCTACATGATGCCGATGGGCATGAGGCCCTACATGATCTGCGTCTTGCCTAGGAGCACCCTTGATTCTGCCTGCAGGTGGGGCCCCAGCAAGGGCTCGGGCGTCTCGCGGCCAGGCGAGGCCTAGTGAGGCCTAGAGCTTCAAAAGCGGAAAGTTCAAGGAGCTTTGCGCAGGCAAGCGATCCTCCAGCAGCGGAAGCAAGTCGGCTGAAGCGTCTGCACAAATAGCATTCGCAACTGCGGCTTTCAAGGCTATTCCAGCAACAAGTCACGCAGAGAAGGCGAGGTCGGAGCAAAATCTGACATTGGGAACAGAGCCTGGTTCGCGAGCATTAGGCGCGCAGCCATCTGCGAGTGCGAACTTGGCATCTGAGTTGGAGGAGCAATTGGGTTGGATTCCGTACTTGGCTGCTTTCTGTCAGGTGACATAACATGATTTCCTTCCAGCACGTCTGCTCAGCCTCCACAAATAGAGGCTTTGTCATCAACTGCTTGCCGTCAGTGAATGATAAGGGCAAGAAGAAGTTACAGACAATATGGCGACGACAGCGATGGTGACGACCTTGCGCTGTTGCTCTTGCTATCGTTTTTGCTGCTGCTTTGGCTTGTGTTGTCTCTGTCATTGTTGCTTTCGCTCTGGCTGTGGCCGTAGCTTCAACACTCTCGGTCTGGATAACACTGTGCAAGAAGGTCAGCGATGCCAGAGACAGGCGTCTTTGGGTTAAGGTAGTTGAGTAAGCCAAGAAAGCGCATTAATTTATATGGCAGAGGACGGGCTTGCCGGGAAGGCTGAAATCAACTTTTCCAGTACTTGTCCGTGACTGCAGCAATTTACCCAGTTATGGCTGTCGCCCATGGATTCATGGAGCTCGTTCTCTCGTTCTCGCAGGAGTTCCTGCGGGCAGCCAGCGACCTCGAAGTCGAGGTTGCGACCTAGTGTCAAAGAGCTGAGACAGAGCGGATGCAAAGATGCTGTATTGCATGGAATCTGGTCGCCCAACCGGCTCGAAATCCGTCCAACGACAATTGGTGAGATTTCCCTTCGAACATAGTCGATCTCCTGTGGTCGGACTCACCGAGCTTGTTCTGAACGTAGCGAGACTAAGCTTAAGCCTGCGCGTTGCTATCAAGTTGCCCTGATTTCTCATGGGTCGCAAGCGTCATGCCCTGGGTGCACCGGGCGAGGAAACGGCCGTGGACTTGGCACTTGCGCTTGCAAGTTCAGCCCGTGGGCTGACGGGCACTGGCAGCTTTTTCCCCTGAGGTTTATGAATCATCCGGAGATCCGCTCCTCTTGGCGCTTTTCCAAGGCGACGGTGAGGGCGCAAAACAACTGCCAGGTCCTCGGAGTTTGCTCTGCAGGCGGCAAGTGGGCGCTTTTTTGCACTGAGGATAGAAGCTGGTGCCGATGTGCAGGACTGCCGTTTGCTTTCGAAACTTCGCCGTCTCAGTGATTCGTGCAGGCCACGGACCATATGGGCTGGACTCCGCTGCACCGCGCATGCTTTGCAGGGCTGGCGGAGGTAGCAGGAGATGGGACGGGGATCAAAGAAACAAGAAGACCACAACAGTGAGGCTGTAAAACAAGGATCGGCTTTGCAGGACTCCTGATTCGACTGCGGGCGGATCCATCGGCGGTCCGCTGCCTCAGACAGCGACAGTGCCACCGATTTCGTGCTCCTCGCCTTGTCCAACCCGATATCGTGCTCCCCGCCGTGGGCGTCTGATCCCTCCCCTCGCTCTCGATCCAGCCTGCTGCGCGACGCCGTCCTCTCCCATCATGCCTTTGCTCCGTCCCCCTCCCCTCCGGCCGTTCCTCCTTCCACCCTGCCGTCCGACACATCATCAACCCCGCCATCTGACCTCTCCCGTTCGACCATGCCACCTCAAGAAAACAGTTATCTTCAGGTCAGCGTACCCTGGATTTCTAGGTTTTGAGCGCACCCTTTTAAAACGAGTACACAACGACATGGGGGGCCGTCTTTGCCAGGTAGTTTGCATGTGATTCTTCGGACCTGTCGTGGATGTTTTCTCTGTGCAGTTGGAAATTCTTTGCTGAAATCTTGTCCACCAGGGCGTGATGTTCTGAGAGTGTAATGCCCTGGTCGCGTGCAATTCTTGGTAATTTAAGGTTTTCACGCGAGTTTTTGCACCCTGTAGTATGGACGATTAGATGCTTCGGCCACAGAGCCTTACACTAAAGTTACTATGAAAATGATGGTAGCGAGGCAGGAAACCCACATGCACTTGCTGAATGGGTCTCAGAGGCTGAGAGGGCTGCCTTTAGGTTAGAGGGATTGTCATCCAGAAGTGTTGTGGTTTTCCAATTATTTGTCGGGCATCGCAGAATGACAGAAGGTTTATGGCATCGCCCTAGTCGAAGATCGCTGACATGTCACGAGATAAAAAAAAACGAGAACTCGCTGAGTTCTCGCATACCACCGGCTCCCCGCCCGGAAGTAATTGTTTCAGCTGCTCAAAACCAGAAGGTTTCATCAGTGCCACCATCCTGCAGTGTCGCGAGACCTTCAGTGCGCCTCTTCCTTGCCGAGCGCATGTGTGGATCTGATTTGGTAGACCAGTTCCAGCTCCTTGTTGGCATTGTGTCTACCCAGTTGAGCTTCTGAATGTACCCAGCGCATGATCACCTTGGTCCTGGCCTGGGCCTCCTTCAAGCTGAGCAGCTCGATGTTGGATTCCTTCTTTGCCCCCTTGATTGAGAGGACCTCAGTCCGAAGTTTGTCGTAGACGTTTCTGGAGTCTGTGATGACACATCGTGCGACCTTAACAACAGCACTGTCTGGATCCTGAATCGCAGGAGTCCCGTACACAGTTCACTCCACGGGTAACGCACATAGCACAACTGATCTTCGCCGTTGACAGCTGCTTGCACCTCAGCAGAACCTGGTCTCCGGCAGACTCGATCTAGTTTGTCCGACTGCCAAGAGATTGGAGAAATCTTCTCCACTTCGCCTCTCAACAAACTGAGAGGCGCCATGCCGATAAAGATGCCCTGCGTGCTGCTTTCGTCTCTCCTGTTCTCGTTGGCCTCGTCTACTAACGATCAGAAGGAAAGGCATGAATCACACTTTGCAGCAACTGGTTAGCCGGTTAGCCTGTAAAAACACTGCCACAGTACTTTCACTCACCTCAGACAACAACAAGCCAACTTCTGCAGCCAGATGTGGAGCCACCTGCTGCACGTGCCACGACACTGCCCGCAACAGAGCCCTCAACTTTGTCTTCTCCCAAGCTGTTGTAGGATGTTCACAGTCTTTACGACGAGATGGTTCAAAGGAATCTAGGGAATATCCTCAACGTAGCGTGCCTGAAACAATTGGAAACCCTGACTAGTTTGCTGAATCCTCACCCCGCAACGGATGAAGTCGTGGTTTTCGCAGCCTCCCCACTTGAACCGGGTTTTGATCTTCTGAAGTATGACTTGCCATCCTTGATCTTGATCGGATGCTGCGAAAAGAAAATCGTCTACGTGGCCTGGCACCACCAAAATGCTCTCCTGCCCGCCAGGCATTTGCAACTCCGAGCAGAAACAATGCAACAAAACAGCGTCCGTTTCGCCTGCGTGCTCGCAAGCTAGCTGAGCTGTTGCTTTACAACGCCCTTATTGAGCGTTTATGCCTATATGGGCTGAATGAAGCAATGATTAAGCCCTTGTTGGGTACGCCCGCCTCCCAAATCAGAAATCCAGCTCTTCGATTGTTTAATTTCAAGCAATCCAGCCGCTGGATTGCTTACTTTGATGGGCTTTTGATCTTTTATGACATAGCCCCAATAAGAAATCCAGACAAAACTTTGTTAAACCTCTTTCATCTTTGAATGAGCCTGAAGATATCGTTTATCACAAATGCTTAAGGAATCCCTTATTCGGCGTGCCAGAACCTCCCGACAAGAAAAACTCAGCCTTTCGATTGCTTACACTTAAGACATCCAGCCCCTCGATTTCACATCTTGGCAGCTTGTGATTCTTTGTGACAAGGTCTTATCGTCCCTCGTCATAACGCTCATTAAAGCTACTGAAGCTTCTATTTTGGCTTTATTGGCAACGCCCCGAGGCTCCCGAAATAAGACCGAAAACGCTTGGATTTGTTCTTGTGGTGGGTTTTCGATTTTTTATCTAGCGCATGTGGATGTGCCTCCTCGCGGCATGCGCGGGCCTCCACCCTCATGGAGGAGCAAAACATCACAGATCAGCATCATGAGGTGCACTATGAAACCAAGGAATTTAGTGAGCATGGTGCCGGGGCAATGTGCAACTACTTCGACAAGTTCGACAAATTCGAAGGCCTTCAGAGAGCTGTGTCATGCAGTGCAAGTAGGAGACTCGTCATGAGGAAGGCATGCCAATTCGAGATGGCCAGCGATGAGGACATTGGTCATTGTGAAGGACGATCAAAGGCATGGAGTGGAGGTTTGCAGGCGTTCGGTCGTGGAGAAGGCCGTGCTCTTCGGAGCCGGCGGGGGGTGCAAACTAGGTCCAGGTTTGCCCAGGCGTGTAGGTCACTTAGGCGTGCAAAGAGCAGGGACACAGACGCAGGCGGAAACCAAAAGTGGAGCCCGTAGTTTCCAGAGCAGTGAGCTTTTTGTCTCGTCTTTCAGCTGTGCGTAGAGGCCGGGGACTGCATGCATTGCGAAACCACGCCAGGTATCATTGGGCATTGAGGGTAGTGCTTTCTGACCCCGTGCGTGAGTGTTGCAACCGCTTGCAGCAACGAGCCAACGACCATTTTGGTCCGCAAGATTTCGAGGTGCCTGGAGCTTATTCGGGTTTCTCCTCTTTTGATTCTGAGCGTGGAGGGAACAACGGGTCCAGCTTAGTGCATTTGAATCCACAGCACGACTGGGTTAGTGACGCTCCAGCTTCTGAATTCGCTTGTGCGAGCTGTGAGCCTGAGCAGGGTGGGGACCTCCGTAGCAGTGTACCATCTCTTAGGCCACAAGTGGCAGGCATGGCAGTGGACTCGGATTCGCATGACATATGCTGCACTGATGTCCGCGAAGGGGAGTCTTTAGAGCGTGTTCCAAGAGCAAGTAGAGGCGGAGGGAGGGGCAAGGATGAAGGGGCTTTCTTCAAAGCTTTTCAGGGTCTCCTCGAGCAGTTTGCGCCTGAAGGAAGCATGCCACCGAGTAAGCCGAAAGGCAAAGGCAAACAAGACTCAGGCGGAAAGGGCGGCCAAAACCTTAAGGCCAAGGGCAAGGGCAAGGGCAGCAAAGATAGTGCAATCAGGGCTTCGGCTGCTGATGATCAGGTTCTTGCTGCGGTTGCTAGGCTTGTGCAGCGAGCGGCTGCCCAGGGTTCGGGTGGGCTGTGCAAAAGGCTAAGGTCCTTGCTTGAGTCAGCGGAGGCTGGGAAACCGTTGCGCAGCAGCCGAGCCGAGCGGAAAAGGAAGGCCAAGGAGAAAATGTTGCCGTCGGTAGGGCGTCCTGCCTTGCAGTCCTTCTACGCTGCACTGCCGAAGCCTGCTTTTAAGACTCTAAGACCAAGAGTCCTGACGGGGATAAAGGGTGGCAGGCCGACCGCTCCGTCCAGGCGATTAGTGCAGGGGAGGCTAAGCGGCGAATGCAAGATCAGCTCCCTCTCCAAGCGGAAAAGATCCTTGTGAAAAGCCAAGACCAGGCCACGGAGCTGAAGGATCGCGCAAGGCTTAATGAGGTGAAGGGCAAGGTAGCTCTGCTGTGCCAAGGAGAGCTTGGGCACGAGGCCAAAGCCCTCGTGAAGTGGTGAGTAAACTCCTCGGCGTCAAGCCTCACAGGGCTGAACGGTGGAAGCTCGTGACCGGCCAACGGAACGAGATGTAGTTCGTCGGATATGTGACATTCGTTGCAGCTGATGCTTCTACGGCGCTCAATCTCTCAGGAAGAAATGGTTTTTTTACCGAGGCCCTTGCTCGCGACCAGGCTGTGCGA